CTACTTCCTTTTGCAGTAATTGTTTGCTTCAATTCTTGTGTTTAGATTATTACTTCATTAAAATATTTTTCTATGAAACAATAATTACAGAAATATTTACACTCTTTTTTTTTTTGGAAGAGGAAAAGGCTGTAAATTGTACAGAATATTTTTGTGAGAAGTCCTCGCTAAGGTACTAGATTTGAATGTGACATTGAAGAGAAAACATGAATTATAGGAATGAGCTAAGGAAGGCTATAAAAGTGTAAATTTACCTGCAAAGAATACATTCATTTACATCCTTTTTCCCACTATAGTGCAGTAATTTTTTTCTTAAGACAGGATGTCACTGTCAAGATAGCCTTCCCGAAGCCTTTTAGCTGGGCTTATAGTTGCACCTGGCTCTTTTTAGAAGAGGTTCATTACGTTGCCCAGACCCATCTTGAACTTGTGACCCTCCTGTTTCAGCCTCCCAAGCTGCTAGGGTTAATAGGCACATGATGCTGTGCTTGACCTTTATGTTTCACTGGGAATTGAACCTGGGCCTTGCATGTGGTCCCAGCCTACGGACTGCTGTGCCAGCCCCTCATGCTGGGCCTGCAGCATAATCATTCCATTGGCTCTTCTGCCATATTAACAGTCAGTGAGTACCTATGACGTACCAGGTACTCCGTCATGATGGCTGTCTATGCCGTTCCCCATTACTCCAGACGCTGTACTTTACATCTATCTTATACCCTCCTCACAGTCCTTTGGGAAAAGTTCAGCATTTTTAGCACTGGAATTAAAAAAAAAATTCACAAGCGAGTCAAGTGTTCAGTGCAGGCTGAGAACTATATCCCTGTGGGTACTGTTCACCAGAGAGTTACATTCTCTTGAGGCCCTGAAATGAAAGCAATTTATTTAAAAAAACAAAAACAAAAACAAATTAAGGGCCAGTCCAATAGGCCAGTGGTTGAGGAAGCTGGAATCCCACATTACTGACTGTGATTTGGATCCTACTTAAACACCCCTGATGCATGTGTGTGCTTGCCCCAAACCCTGACAGGATGGTGAAGTGGTGGAGAGAGGAGTGCAGCCTGACCAGGCCTGACCGGGCCTCTTGGGGCAGGTGTATTCTCTCTCCCTGTGTCTCTCTCTGTGGCAATTTGAAACAAACAAATAAACACCAAATAATTCCTTCCATAACTGAAAGTACCACACCACTAAAACTACCCATGAAGGTGCATGGGATCATGCTGACCTTGATGCCTGAACCACAAAGAATGTGTGGGAGAGAGGATCGAGTTTCCTCGTGATCACCTTCTCTCTTCAACGTGAAAGGCTGTCCTTGGAGTGCCTTCTCAAAAGACTTTTTGATCATGTGAACTGGAGAGGTCCCTGCTTGGATGGGCCATAGATAGTAGACATGATCTCCACCGGACAGATATGTGGTTTCAGGGACTGTGCCTCAGCCATTCACGGGGGAAGTACCAACGCACACCAGGTCACCAACGGGAGGAAAGCATTAACAAACGTATCTCCATGTGTCACCCTCACCCAGGGGAGGCCTACACGAAAAGATCCCAGTTTAGATGTTTTTGGTGGGGGCTCAGATGGCCAAACTAACATTTTCCAAGTCATACCCAACAGGGGAGAAAAATCCCTGTCTCTCTTCAGAGAGTACACACACCCGATGGCAAATTAAAACAAAACAAATCAAAACCAAAATTAGTTAACCAACCCTCCATTTCCCAAGCCTTGAAATGGATGGTCCCAATACCCAACAGTGTGCTGTGATGACCTTGGACAAGTCCCCTCTCCACTCTGGCCTTAACCTGTCAACGTGTCCACCGTGAGGCTCAGAGGAGACGATGCTCAGTGCAGCTTCAGCACAAAGACAAGAATGGCCGTGCAGTCTGCAGGCACTGAGGGGCTGAGTTCCACACGGGCTTCATTTTTACAATACCAGCCAAATTCTAGAGCGAGATGTCATCACAGCCAAGACTCAAAAGCCAAGCAACGCTGGATAAAACAAGAACCTGGGACGTTTTAGCTGGGGATAGTGGCAGGTGGTGGCGGAGTATAAAAATAATTCTCAGCTTACTGCAGACAAAATAACACCATACAGTCATTGTGAACTAAATTCTTGTCGGGAATAGGATAGGATTGAAAGGATTCGTAACAGTGTGGCTTTGAATTAGTGGAAGGCCAGTTTCAGTGAACACATTGAAGGCGTTTCTAACCTTATATCATATCTGAACTCCACAAAGTCAAGTTCAGTCAAACATACTAGGTCCTGTCTCTGCCACTTGAGGTAGTTAGAGGAGTTTGAGTTCTTAGCGTTCTCTTCAAACAAAAGCCCAAAGCTTCTAACTTTAATATTGAAGATATTAGACGTTCATATATATGAACGCATTCCCCTGTGCTGTGAATCATAGCTTGATTCAAAGCAGTTCATTACGGTGCTGTCAACATCAGCAGAACTTCCGTCGGAGAACCTAGGAAGTGGTGCTTAATTGCAGACTAAATAATACCGTATGAAGCCACTTTCTTACTTTCCTTTTTAAGAATCAGTATTTTCCAGTGAGTAATTTCATACAGTCCTAGTTTCAAATTAGGTAGGGTAAAGCACTGATAGAATTTTGGCAAGACCTGACTCTATCGTATCTGATATTAAACAACTCCAGAAAATAAACAAGTTTCCATTCGAGTTAATATGAAATACGAAATTTAATAAGTATTGTGGCTGAAAGAGCCCACAAAACATAAATACCAATCTCTTATCTGAAAATGCTGGTTTGGGAAAAACAGATTTGGTGTTCTTGATCATTTAAGAAATGGTTTTCTTTTCCTAAGGGTTAATTGATTTCTTGTATTGCTTACCAGTTAGTACTACCTATTATGGTTTTCAAAGAAAAAATATGCATACCTGGCTTTTAAATTATGCTCCTAGAGAAAGCGCTTAGTTCTTATGACTTACTACTCCATTAGGGTTTCCCTTTAGATTTTCTACAATAAACACGTAGCCCAGGCTTAGAGTAAAAGAGAGAGGAAATAGGATACTGTTTATTTTACAAACAAAGAAAGCAGTGTAAGTAATGATTTTCTCCTCCGAGCCCATTAACATATACTTAGCATATACGTGAATGGAATCGGCCTCTTTTAAAAATCCAAAACTTCCATTAGTTTTTACGCCATGAAGAAAATACTGAAATGAAAACTCCACCACTAGGAGGCAGCTGCGGTCTCAGCTTCCACAAGACCTGCCAGAAGCTGGCTTAGCCCAGAACTGTCTAGGTCTGAGTTCAGCCTAGCTCAGCCTAGCTCAGACCTCCAGCTGCCTCAGCCTTGGGGATTCTGCTCAACAACTAGCTGGTCTGGAGCTGGAAGGAAACTTCCTCGACCCCTCTGGACTTGAGCAAACTACAGTCCATGGACCATAGTTGGCCTGCAGCCTGTTTTGTAAGTAAAGTTTCACTAAAACACAGTGAAGCCTATTTGTTTACATATATGGTAGCTTATGGCTTTTCATGCTATAATAGCAGAATTGGGTACCTGTGACAGACAGATACCGAATGGGTGCAAACCAGAAATATTTACTCCTTGGCCTTTCAAAAAAAGTTGCCAACTCTTTGACCTGGAGGGTCCTGGGACAGATGGTCACTCTTGCACTCTGTATCTATCTATCTATCTATCTATCTATCTATCTATCTATCTATCTATCAATCATCTTATCTATCAATCATCTTATCTACCAATCAATCATCTTATGTATCTACCAATCAATCATCTTATCTATCTATCAATCAATCATCTTATCTATCAATAATCTTATCTATCAATCATCTTATCTATCAATCATCTTATCTAGCTATCTATCTACCAATCATCTTATCTATCTATCAATCAATCATCTTATCTATCATCTATCTATCTATCAATCATCTTACCTCTCTATCTATCATTTTATCTATCTATCTATCTATCTATCTATCTATCTATCTATCTATCCATCTATTTGAGATTTTTGCTCTAGGGCATGTGCGCTCACTGGAGAGACAGAGACAGGGAGACAAAGTGAGAAGTCAACCCCAGGGGGGATGGCCACGTCGCAATCCCTTCTCCTCCATTCTCCTCTTGGGATCTTGGGCACACACGCACACACGCCTGGCATGAATTTAAGCCACTGGGTCCAGGACTCGAACCGTGGTCAACTACGTGGGAGTCCAGTGACATAGCCATTATGCTAACTGCTGGTCCCATGGGTCTTTTATATTTTTATAAGTTATTTGTTAACATTTAAAAATTAGGATAGTTTATTTAATATCTAGATTTCCAATTCTTTTGAGAGCCCAAAATCTCTGGGCTGCATGAGCCATCCCTGGTTTTAAGGGATGGCTTCCCTTCAAAGTCAACCTAAGTTCTCCTGTTTTCTTTGCCTTTTTTTTATGCCCAACCTTTTCAGTATTGGTGTTCTTTGTCTGGCCCCTGGGGCCTTTGAGTGGGCAATGCTTGTTTTCTGTGTTACACGAACAAATTGTGTAATTGCAATGTTATATTCCTGCGGGTGTCATTCTATCTCTCTTTTGACCCTGGCTAAGATTTTTACAGCTCATTTGTACCTTATGTGACCTAATCATATTCCATTCTTAGTCTACCGTGAATGGAACAAACAGCCAATTTGGGGAAGTCCCATGGACTTTGGGGTCACGAAGGATGCAGAGCCAATTATGATATTGCTCTGAATGTCTGTGAAGAGTAAACATATTTAATGGGCAAGGATGATCCTAGGAAGGCTAAAAATTAACCTTTCACTGTGAATTATGATTCCTTTCCATCATCTTCCTGGTGCTGATGCACCTCCTAATTTCTGAAGAAGATGGAAGCATATTTGTAGGGCTGGATTCATAGGGTGTAGTACACTTGTTGGTTTGGAAATAACTGATATTAATACTCTCAAGCTGATGTTTAGGAGTCCCGTATTTCACTTTTGTGGAAAAAGATGGAGGCAAAGAATATTGTAAAAAATGTAAAGATACCTGTCATACTGTTGGGAGTCATAGGTTAGTAATCATTCTGGGTCCTTTTTTCCATGGACATCTCCTGCAAAGAAAAATACAAGAAAAATTTGAGCAAAGATTATAACCTGTATTTTCTACAGTGTTTTGGTTCTAAACAATATATGCATTGATTAACTTTGAGGCAAATTTTGTTGTTCTCAACTAATAACTAGAGAAATTGATGTATGTGATAAGCATAAGATTAAAAGACCTCTTAATTTTCATCTCATGCTGTTTTCTTTTCTTTTTTTGGAGAGGTTTTTGTTATAGGTTGCATGTGCTTGCCAGAGAGACAGAAAGAGAGAAATCACCCCTCAGGGGGGATAGCCACGCCACAATTCCTTCTCCTCTTGGGATCTTGGACACGCATGCACACATGCCCAGTGTGAGTTTAAGCCACCCGGTCTGGGACTCAAACCGCAGTCAACCACATGGGAGTCCAGCGACAGAGCCATTATGCCAACTGCTGGTCCCGTCTCATGGTGTTTTCTATAAACATGCTTTAAAAGAACATTTCTTTTCAAGATTACATTTTTTTTATCTCAGAATTACATTTTTCCATCTCAGAGTTTAAAGAAAACTATCAGCTTACTGATTTACTTTTATTTTTTTTCCATGAGTGGCTAAACTGTATTAGCATCTTCAATCTACATCCTTGCTTCTCAAAGTGTGGTCCGTGGGCCAGCAGTTTCGGCATCACCTGAGATCTTACACAAAATTTGAGTCCACCCCAAAATATGCAATCAGGATCTACATCTGGACAAAGATCCCCTGGGTGATTCGTGTGTATTGTAAGGTCTTAGACACACTGCTCTAGGGAACTGAATCTGTATTGTTGGCCTCCCATTTTATTCTTTCATAAATAGCTTTTATTAAGTTGGAGCTGAACCTTCCCCTTCATCACCACCTTGATGAGATCCAAGAGCAGACAGACTTAGCATTCAGACTGGGGAAGGAGGTTCATTGGGCATCAGTGGCCAGGGGGTCGCTGAGGGAAGTATGCTGCAGCATGTGCACCATGATAACACAGGTGGACACAGGTGGGTGATGAATACAGGACACAGCTCTTTAATATATCGCTGGCCATGTCGGGATCAATTTTCTTCCTCTGTAGGGTTATGACCAGTAGTAGATGCTGGCAGCAATGTAGCTTAAAAATAGCACTGAAACCTGAGGTATCAGTCCGAGGGTCAAGGCTGCCCCATACTAATGGTGGGATTATGGTAGTAATTTCAAAGCATTAAAATCTCCCTCCCTCCCTCCCTCCCTTCCTTCCTTTCTTTCTTTCGAGAGTTTTGCTACAGAGCACATGTGGTCACTAGAGAAACAGAGAGACAGAGAGCGAGAAATCATCCCCTAAGCAGAATGGTCATACTGCAATCCCTTTTCCTCCATTCTCATCTCAGGATTTTGGACATGCATGCACACATGCCTGGCATGAGTTTTAAGCTGCTTGGTCCGGGACTTGAACTCTGGTTGACAATGTGGGAGTCCAGTGATACAATGACTACACCATCTGCTGGTCTCCTAGAATCTCCATTTCTTTAGTGTAAAATGAGAAAACTAGTTCTTGCCCTATTTACTTCACAAGACTGAGGTTTCTGATATTCAAAGATGATGGGAGTGAAGACACTGGTAATCTACAATGTACTGTACACATGATAACCATTGGACCAAGGAGGTACCATCTTGATTTGAATAACTGGTTGGAGAAGAGGAAGTATGTGAAAGAGAAAATATGTGGATTAGGTTTATAACACAGATTTATATATGACCATTCTTTCTCTGTCTTCAAATCTAATACTTAAAACTATTAATTCATTCCTTGATCATAGTTCTTGTCACATTCTGTGGGAAGTACAAGTTTACATGGCTGTCTTTCCCACTAGGCTGTGCTCTCTTCATGGAAAGGAGTACGTCTCTCTCATTTTTATATCTTCTGCACTGGGCAGAGTGTTATAGACATAATAGGTACACATCAATATGTGTTTAAAACTGAATAAAATACAGTGAATACGGTTGATATGGCATGTGTCTCAGTGAGTCACCGAAGCACAATGATACGCTGCCTGTAAGCTGCCTGCATTGGCATCTGATAGAAAGATAAATATTAACTAGAAAAATGCATTCTTGATGCTGAGCAGCTTTCCAAGAATTGCCAGCCATAAGCCCCTTACCCATCCTTTTTTACCTGTCCAGCTGTGTTTTGAGTATGAGAAAGAGCACAGATCATACCCAGAGCATTGTGTATCTGAACCCCGGTCCTTCTTTGTTGTTGTTGTCATTGCTGTTGTAGGGTGTACAAGAGAGAGAGGACAGAGAGAGAGAAAGAGAGAGAGAACCCCCTAACGGGGTGGTCACACCACTGTTATTACAAAGTTTATCTGGTATTGTAGGACACTGAGAGTCCTACTACTGAAATTTATGGGAGCAAGCCCCTTAACTTACCCTGTCCCAATTTTTCCTTGCCACAGCTCTGTCTGGGGTATCCAAAAGCCCATCTGGATAAATGTGAATGGTTGTCCCCTCAGAGTAAGGTGTACCCCAAACAGGGAGGTCAGTGAGGTGCAGATCTCTTGGGTACCTGTTGGCCCCACTTTAGAAAGGGGAGTTTTTCCCTTCTCTCCATCTTCCCCTCTTAAGGAAGGGCTCATTTATGCTCAACCTATGACCCTGACATTTGGAGACAAAAAATGTAAGAGCAAGTTCAATCCCAGGTATGGAGTGAAGTTGTCTCAACTGGGAGTCAGTCTGGATGGTTCCAGGTCTCGGCTCAGTAGTCTGAGGGTCTTGGGCAGGCTCCTGTACTCTCAAAGCCTCCTTTGTAAAGGGAAATCATGATCTCTTCTCTCTCGGGGTTAATATAAGCTCAAAGGAATTGGAAAGGATTTCAAAGGATCCCAGAGGAAGGTATTGGGAGATTTCTTCACTATTATAGTCATCATTATGATGGTCATCGCCTAGCCAGCCCCAATAATACTCCTTAAGGTATGGGGAGTTGGGGCTATGATTTAGTCTGCCCTAGAAGTGCTCTGAGGTGCACTTATAAAGACTCATAGACAGCTCAGACGCTCACTTCCCTGGACACCATCATCACCAAGATAAAATGGAGGTAGACTTGCTTCTCCCTCACCTGCCATTCTCTTTCAAGGCTGATTTTTACCTTTTGTGAAAACGACCTTCCTTTTAGGTTTGCTTTTCATGCTCGCTTAGCCTCATTTGGGGAGTAAGTGGGCACAGCAATTTGTACCCAATCTATAGCATCCTAAATGTAGCCCATTGTCCTGCCCCAAGATTGCCACGTTTTAATAGTAAATTTTAATAGTTAATATATAATGGCTGATTTTCTAATGATAGGAGTGAGTTAAGAACTGAAATGGAAGCAAATCGAGGTAAAGTGTATTCAAATCATGCCACGCTACTCCACCTTTCACATTGGGTAAAACTAACCTTTCCTGTGACTGTAACATCAAACAATCAGTAAGAGAAAATTTAAAAGCCAATATAGTGAGACTGGGATGGAGCTGATTAAAAAGGCATATAGGACTCTGTATCCCTTTTAGTTAATAAAGATGTGGAAAAATCGGAGCTCTGCCTATGCCATGGCCCAGGCATGAGGACGGCAAAGTCTGAACTTCTCCACTGGGATGGGGATGGCTCTGAGTTGCGGGCCCACCAAACGGCATTAGCAAATGACTACAGAACGGCAAACACCTAATTTTCATTTCAGATCTTCAGCAGCTGCTGTAAGTGTTTAGCCTTCAGGGAGGGAGACACTGCAGCCAGCTCTGTGGTTGAAACTGAGCTTCATTTGCTGTGGCTGATTATTGTTATTTTTTGGTTATTGTTGTTCTCAGCAATATTCTCAACCTTTGCATCCACCCCACTCACCCCCATTAACTCAAGTTCCATGGTCTCGTTCTGAGGCTCATTTCCATTCTCCCTTTTTACCTACGCCTAGGCTAAATCATTGTCCCTTCTTTCTCGTCTTTTCTTTTTCCCAGGCCAACTCACCATGGCATATTGGAAACAGCAGAGACCCCACCACTTAGCAGGAGAAGGACATGTGGGATGATAAGAGGAAAGAGCTGCATTCCCAAAATGGGGATGGGATTGCCCACCTCAAAGGAGAGCATGGGGATTCAGTAGGCTAAATGCAGTTGATACCTGGAAGTCTTCTTCCACACTTACGTGCGAGGCTCCAGAGCCCCAGTTGAGTAAAATCCCATTTCGGTTTATTTCTGCTTTGAGGGCTAAGTCAGCAGCGGTAGGGCTGGGGTTCTTGGGGTCAGAATGAGCTATCAAGCAAACAATAAAGGTCCCTGCTAATCCAAACCATCTACTACATGTCACTCACTGTCACACACAGTGACACATGTCCCCCACCCTGACTTTCTGTCATTGCCAGTGTGTTCACTCACCAGAGAGACACAGAGAAAGAGAGAGGGAAAGAAAGCTCCTCTCAATGGGCCATGATCACGTGGCAATTTTTTCCTTCCAGTTTTTTCATTCTGTCAGAATTTTGGGTGCTGGGTGTGTTTTTGAAGTCACTTGGGCCAGGACTTGAACCATGGTGGGCCCTGTGGGGTCTGGCTCCCTTAATCTCTAGGCTATGGGGCTGGTTCTACATAGAGCACTTTTTAGCCAAATCCTGTAGTGGTCAAAAAGCTGAGAAAAAAGCAAAGTGATCTGAGGCCAACTGTGGTCACCCTGACTGCCTGCTCTGTTTATAACGCCTTTGCCTCCTAGTTACCTTTCTGTAGAGGGGGCCTATCATCTCCGAATGTGTCGAAGGAGGAGAAAACGGCTCCTAAGAGGAAAGCAGGTGGTTGGAGGGAGTGTCTGGGACAGAAGGAGAAGCACTTCCACATCTGCTCTGTTGGCTAAAGCAAGTAGTTAAACCTGACTCTGCTGACACCTGGTGGAGAGTAGGGTAGCTTCTCTGTGCCAGAGAAAGCGCGTTAAATTGTGTTCCTGTGCCTGTGTGTGAGAGAGAGGGAGAGCGAGAGAGAGAGAGAAAGAGGGAAAGAGAGAGAGAGAGGG